CGCCGTCGCCCAGCCGATCCCGCAACCCGATGAGCTTCGCGCGCTTCACGTAGACGTCCGCCGCGACGCCCCAGATCTCCACGGCCCGCGGCAGCAGCGGCGCGTGCTGCACGGACGCGTACTTCTGCAGGAACTGCAGCTTCTGGACCATGGGCAGCCGCAGGTCGAACCAGATCTTCTCGAGGCGCGGCTGCAGCAGCGCCGGGTCCGCGACCGACGACGCCTTCGTCGACGCGGAGCCGAAGGACGGCCGCCGGCGCCGCGACGCCGCGTCGTCGTCGCCCGGCGCGCCGGCGGCGCCCTCGGCGTGCGCGGGCGCCGCCGCGGCCTCGCGCGCCTCGGGCGTCTTCGGCCGCGCCTTGGCCTGCTGCTGCGCGGCGCGCAGGGCCAGCGCCGCGCGGTCGCGCTCGCTCTCCGCGAGCTTCGCGGCCGCGGCCGCGGCCGCGGCGCGCTCGCGGTCCAGGGCCAGCGCCTCCTCGCGCGGCCGCTCGAAGGAGTTGAAAAAGGGCGGCGCGTCGCCGCGCCGCCGCGCGCGCTCGCGCGCGGCGGCGTGCGTGACGAACTCGGGCTCCGGCGCCTCGCGGCGCTCGCCGACGAGGCGCGACCGCGACCCGAGCGACTGGAACGACGTCGCGAACAACGGCGTCTGCGGCAGGGGGTCGAGCCCGCCGCCGCCGCCGCCGCCGAGGGAGCCGCCGGTCTTCGAGAGCGTCGAGGCCTTCTTCGCCAAGCGATCCTTCGCGGACGTCCACTTCATGAACTGGCGGTAGACCTGGTCGTCGGAGACGGCGCGCGGCCGCGCCTCGCCGTCGCCGGCGGCCGGCGGCCCCCGGCCGTGGCTCCCGACGGCCGTGGCCCGGTGGCGCCAGCGCGCCGCCGAGCCCGCCGCGGCGACGGCGGCGCGGTTCGTCTCCGCCGCACTCGGCGTGGGCGGCGCCGCGCCGTCGTCGCCGCCGCGCGCCTCGGCCTCGTCCAACAGCCCCTGGAGGCACGCCTCCTCGATCTCCCGCACGTCGAGATCGCGCTGGAGCGCCGCGAGAAACCGCGTGTGCGCCCGCCGCGCGTTCGCGTCCGGGTGGAAGACGCGGCGGTCGTCCAAATCGCCCTGGACGCGCTCGAAGCGCCGCCGCAGCGCGCCGACGCGGTGCGCGAGCGTGCCGAGCACGCGCCTCCGGAGCTCGCCGCAGAGCTCCGGCGACATGCCCTTGGTGAAGGCGTGGATGCGCGGCCGCAGGATGCTCCGGGCGATCTCGTGGTCCCCGCGCAGGCCCTCCTTGTTCTTGAGCACCGCGAGCTCCATGCCGCCGAGTTTGCCGAGCGCGTCGTCGAGCTCGACGAAGACCATGCCCGTCTCCCAGCCCCGCTCGAAGCCCGCGTCCTTGCCCTTGCCCAGGGACCGCAGCAGGGCCTGGCGCTCCAGCGCGCCGCCGCGGCTCGGCGGCTTGCCGCCCGCGAGCGGCGCCGCCGCGCCGTCGCGCCGGTCCGCGCCGCGGCTGGGAGGCGGGCTCCGCGGCGGCCCGCCGCCGGGGCCCTTCGTCTCGGCGTCGCCGCCGCCCGCGGTGCGCGTCATGTCGCCCAGCAGGTTCCGGCTCTTCTTCTCCGGCGTCGGCTCGAGGCGCGTGAGGCCGTAGGGCTCGCGGTAGGCCCGGTCCAGCAGCGCCGACGCCGGGATGGCCTCGCGCCGCACGCGCTGCAGCCGCAGGGCCCGCGCCGCCGACGTCCGCTCCATGACGGCGCTCACGGGGTTCGCCGCCGCCGCCGTCGCCGCGTTGTGGGGCACCATGCCCGGCAGGGACATCGTCCTTGCTTAGCGCGCCCCGCCTCGATCGATGCCGTATCCTCCCATAAAGGTTTGGCGCGCACCCAACGATTTTTCGTGCCCTCCTTCGAGGCCTCGGGGCTGCCACCACTCCCCGTTCCCACCATGGGCTGGCGGTCGGCGGGGCACGTCGAGTGGATCGCCTGCATCTGCTACGTCGAATGGGTGGGCGTCCCGCGCGCGATTCGTGGGCGCTGGAGACGCCGTCGTCGCCGCATCGCAGGCCCTTGTCCAGATGCACGCCGCCTACCGCGTCATCGGGCCGTCGGCCGCCGGCGACAGACACTTCGGCGTCGTCTTCCAGCGCATCTTCAGCGCGTCGCCCGGCGTCCCCCCCCGCGCGCGACCGGCAAAGGACCGCCCGGCGCCGCAGACGGCGCGAACGACCGGACCCTCGAGGCCTACGCGAAGGCCGGCTACCCGGAGCAGATGAGCCGGGTGCGCCGCGCGCCGCGCGCGCCGCCGCCGGAGGATCCCCGCGCGCAGATCATGCTCGAGCACGGCATCAACTACCTCTGGATCGGCGGCTGGGCGCTGCTCGCGGCGGTCTTCGCGGTCGCGCGTCGCGCCGCGCCCGTTTCCCTTTGAATTCCCACCCGTTCACCGCGACGCGCCTAGTGCCCGGCGCGGACGTCCTGGCTCCTGGGCCTGCCGCCCTTCCTCTTCCAGTGGGGCTACTTCTTCGCCATCGACTGCGCGAGCGCCGCGCTCGGCGCGCGCCGGCGCGGAACGTCCGAGGCTTGCACGCGCGCGCGCGCGCGGGCGGGCGTGCTCGCCGAGCAGCGAGATCGTCCGTCCCAAGCGTGGGCCGCACGCGGGCGGGCGAGGGCCGGGCGGCGCGGACGCCGCGCCGTCCCGCAGGCGACCACTGGGGCGAGCTCCAGTCCGTCGTCATCTCCGCGGCGCTCATCGCGTCGGCCTTCGTCGTCGACGGGCGCTACAACATCGACCGCCTCGAGCTCGCGGCCACGGTCCTCATCCCCGTGGGCCTCCTCGGGAGCTGCGTCGCGAAGCAGGCAACTGGACCGGCGTGAGGGACGACGCCCGTCCCCGCCCCGGCGCAACGCCCCCCGCGCAGGCGACGAAGCTCTACCGACACCTCACGTTCTGAGCGCGCGGCCGCGACGCGCGCGCGACCTCGACCCCCGGCCGTCTGGGTAAAGATCGGCTCGACTTCAAGGAAATCCTCATCGGCGCGGCCGCAAAACGCACGACTTTTTACGTCCGGTGGGCAGCCGAGACATCAAAACTTAAACACAGCCTGCGTCGCTCTCGCAGAACGTCGTCGTTGTCGGCCCGCCCCATGATGGTCCCGCCCCCGGCCGGTCGCCCCGGCGACGCCGCCCGGGGCTCGGGCGGCTGCGCGAGCAGCACGGGCGCCCCGCCCGCTCCATCCGGCGCCAAGGCGGGCCACGACGACGCCCGGGCGTTCTTGATGACGCTGGCCCGCGTGCTCGAGCCCGACGAGCAGGCCAAGGCGTCGGCCCGGGCGCTCATGAGCGCCCACGGCGCGGCGCCGACGCAAAAGCGCGACCTCGAGCGCCTCCTGAACGCGTGCGGCCGCGCGCTCGCGTTGGACCCGTCGTCGGCCGTCGCGCTCGCGCGCCGTTCCTGGGCGCGCAACGCGCAGCGCCAGGGGGCGTTGGCCCTCGCCGACGCCAAGCTCGCGCTCACCGTGCTCCGGTCCGGCGACAGGCCGCTCGCCGCGCGGATCCACGCGAACGCGGGGTTGGCGCACCTCCAGCTCGGCGACTGGGCGGCGGCCGAGGCGTCCTACGGTGCGGCGCGGGCCGCGGGCGGCGCGGCGACGGCGGCGCTCGCGTCGAAGATGATCGCCCGCGCCCGCGAGCTCTCGGCCGCCGACATCCTCGCGAAGACGGCCAAGGTCGCCGGCGCCGCGAAGGCCGCGCCGCCGCCGGCGTCCCCGCGCAAGGCGGCCCTCGTCGTCGACGTGCGGTCGCCGGAGCGCGAGCCCCGCGAGGTCACGCCGACGCCGTCCGTCGCGGGCTCGCCGACGGCCGCCGGCGACGCCCGCCGCGCGCCGCCGCCCGCGCCGCCGATGGCGTCGCCCGCGGGCGTCGAGGACCTCCGCCCCTACTCGGCGGCCTTCGGCATGAAGCGCCACCGCGACGGACCCAGCGACCTCCCGCTCAAAAAGCGGGCCATGGCCCAGTAGGCGCCACCCTTGTAAGTAAGTGCCCCCTCCTCCTAGATGACTGCCGCCGGGCTCGTCGTCCGTAGGCTCCACCCTTGTAAGTAAGCCCCCCCCCCTCCCGACTGGCGCCTAGATGAAGCCGCCGCCGGGCCCGTCGTCGAGCCCCGGGACGCGCATGTGGTCGAAGTCGGGCTCGCCCGGGCCCGGGCGGCGGCGCCCCCGGCCCCCGCCCGGGGGCGCGCCGCCGGGGAAGCCCGGCCCGAGGGGCCCGACGGGGTCGAACCGCGGCTGGAAGCGGCCCGCGGTGAGCGGGTCGAAGCCGCCGAAGGCCGGGTGGCCCGGCCCGACGAGCAGGCGCCGGCCGTCGTCGCGGAGCGGGTCGCCGAAGGGCTGGGGCCGGCGCGGCGCCGCGGGCGGGAAGCCGGGCCCGACGGCCGGCGCCGCGGGCCGCGGCGGCGCGCGCGGCGCCGGCGCCGCCGGCGCCGGCGCGGCCGCGGCCGCGCGGAGCCGGGGGAGGACGGTGCCCGCGACGTACGCCGCGAGGGCCTCGAAGGCCGCGAGGGGCGGGGGCCCGCTCGCGGGCGCGCCGCCGTCGGCGACGGCGACGCCGTCGGCGTGCACCACGCCGCGCGTCGGCGACGCGAGCGAGATCTGGAGCTCGCCGCCGGCGGGCGCCGCGGCGAACTCGAGCGCGTCCGCGCCGCCGCGGTAGCGGAAGCCCGCGCCGCCGCCCTCGCGGCGCCAGCCCCGGGGCAGGCACGCGTCCCGGGGCAGCGCCCGCGCCGCGGGCGCGAAGCCGCCGACGGCCGCGGCCGTCGACGCGACGCCGACGCACGACAGCTCGGGCGCGGCCGCGAGGAGCAGCGCGTGCACCGCGCAGGCCGCGGCCTCGAAGTTCGTCGCCGGCCGGTGCGCCGCGTCGCAGGCGTCCAGGGACCGCGCGAGGAGGCTGCGCGCGTCGAGGGCGAGGGCCGCCGCCGGTGTTGGTGTCGGGGCGCCGAGGGCGGCGCGGCGCGCGTCGACGGCGGACCGCAGCTCGGCGAGGGCGGCCTCGACGCCGGACCGCACGAAGGACCCGGCGGGCAGGCGATTGACGGCGACGGCGAGCGACGCGAGCTGCTCCTCGGCGGCGTCGCAGTCGTTTGGGTTGTGGAGCTGGGCCATAGCTTCTGTGATCTGCTGCGGTTCATGTGAACACCCTAATGGTGCGGCCACTAGACGTCCGCGCCTCCAGCGCGCACGGACGCGCGCGTCGAGCGGCCCGAGAGCGGTTGGCGCTGTCGACTGCTACCTCTAGGAGGGCCGGAAACGCTCTTCTTTGTTTCGTAGACCCGACTTCGCGCGCGCACGCGTCGGTCGACAAAGTGGCGGAATCGGCCGAGCCAGCCGTGCCCCGGCGGATCAGCGTTTGAATAGCTTCTTTTGCGACTGGAGGCTCGTCATGGTGGTGCGAGTCGATGGTGCGACGCACTCTTTGTGGTTCGTCGACTTTTGGGCGACTCGCGAATGTCCGCCGGGCGCCGAAGCGCTTCGACCGAAAACGCGAGCCGCGGTGCGCCTGTGGGCGCTGGCGGCGGTCTGGCTGTCGTCGAAGGCGTGGACCATATGTTACGAGCGGGCGAAGGCGTCGGAGTCGCCCCGGGTTGCGAAATCGGCGTGCGAGAGGTTGTTCTGGTCAAAAGTGGCCTCAAATAGCCCGAAAACGAATGATTTCGGCGCCAAACGCAGCGTTTCGCGTCGACCGATCACCGTCGCTGTGTTCCGCCGGGCGGTTCGACATCATAGAGCTCCTGCACGGCGATCTACACCGTCTCCGACGCCCACAAGGTGCCCGACACTCGCCGAAAGCGTCTCGGCCGAGAAGCGGCGAATGGTCTCCGCGGCCTGTTTCGACCGCGTCCGGGCCTCGGTCGAGGTTTGTGCGACCTGCCCGTCCGTCGACGGTCCCGACCGCAGCCGCGGGCGGCTTGATCGCCGCAGAGAGCGCCTTGGAGCGCCTCCAGGGGCTCAAAATAGCTCATTTTTACCTAAAAGCACTCCCATAAGGCTCTCTAGAGCTTACCCACGCAAGTTCCTGCTTAAGCGTGAACGAAACCGACGCGGGCGGCTCTCAGGAAAGCACGGGCGGCCCGCGGAGGCTGGCTACAGAGCCTGCAGGAGCAAATTGTTCCCGTTCACGTCCCACTCCTCGAGACAGATCGGGCACCGCCCTCCAAACCGCGCCGACGTCGGCTCGGGCTCTGGGTTCGCCTCGCGCCGCAGACGCGCCGCCTCGTGTTCCGCCGTGATGCGCGCGCGGACCTCGTCGGCGTGCGACCGCGGCGCGGGGCCGTAGAATACGTCCCGCGGCGGCGACGGCGCGCGCGTCGGCGCTTCCGCCCGCGCCGCCTCCGCGGCCTGGATCTTCTTGCAGACCTTCCGGTGGCCCCGGTCGCGCCAGTCGATGCGTTGGCAGTCCGTCGAACAGTACGCCGTCGTGCCGCACCCTTTACAGGGCCGAGCATCCTTCTTCCCGCAAATCGTGCATATGTTGAGCGCCAGCTTCGTACGGGTTTTTCGCGCCTCGTACTCTCGCTTCTTCTTGATCAGTTCCGGGTCCATGATCTCTTCCCACGCTCGTCGCCGACGCTCCTATTCAACCACCTCACTCGTACGGGCCGAGGCGCCGACGCCCCCGCCGTCGCCGCCGCGGGACGTGTTCTACGGCCCCGCGCCGCGGTCGGACGCCGACGAGGTCCGCGCGCGCATCGCGGCGGAGCACGAGGCGGCGCGTCTGCGGCGCGAGGCGAACCCGGAGCGGGAGCCGCTGTCGGCACGGCTCGGGTCGCGGTGCCCGATCTGTCTCGAGGAGTGGGACGTGAATGCGACGAACGTGTTTCGCGTCTGTTGCTGCCGAAGGGTCTGCCGATCGTGCAGCGACAAGATCGGAAGTGCGTGTCCCCTCTGTCGTGTACCGCGCGCAGAAGGCCATGCGGAACACCTCGCGCGTCTTCGCCGCCATGTGGAGAACGAGGTGCCGGAAGCGATTTCGTTTTTGGGAGGTGTGTACCGCAACGGTTACTTCGGCGTCGTGAAATCCGAAAAGAAAGCCGCGAAAATTTACCGGCGCGCCGTGGAGCTCGGCGACGTGGGTGCAATGAGAATCCTTGGAACATTGTACCAGAATGGAAGCGGCGTCAAGCTGGACAAGAAAAAGGCGGAGCGGCTGTATCGTATGGCCGCAGATCGCGTACCGCGAAGGTCGGTTGGGCCTCGTGAAATCCGATAAGAAAGCCGCGAAGATTTGGAAGCGCGCCGTGGAGCTCGGAAGCGTGGAGGCGATGGTATTTCTTGGGGAATTGTACGAGCATGGAAATGGCGTCAAGCTGGACAAGAAGAAGGCGGAGCGGCTGTGGCGCATGGCCGCGGACCGGGGCAACGCGACCGCGCAATGCAATTTAGGGGTTTTACTTCACTCTGAGGAGAAATTTGAAGAGGCGTTCCGGTACTTTGCGCTCGCGGCGGATCAAGGCTTGACCGCTGGAGAGCTCAACCTTGGCATTTGTTACCACGATGGCAAAGGCACGGAAGTCGACCTCGGCAAAGCCAGATACTGGATCGAGCGCGCCGCTGCCAAGGGCGACGAGAACTCTATCAAGGCCCTCGCGCGCCTCGACGCGCGAGTATAATAGCCTAATTTATCTTTACGCCGCGGCTTCGCCCGAGCCCGAGATGCTGCGCTTGCGCGCGGGCGAGTCGCGCTTGGCCTCGGCGTCGTCGTCGCCGCGTTCCTCTCCGCGCCGACCTTCGCGGTCTGGACTCTGGCGTTCTTGGATGCGGAGCCTGCCCGGCGCAAGGACGACGACGCCGAGGGGTGCATGGAGTGTGAGATTAGGGGGATGCTCTAGGGGTGGGCTTAGCCCGGGGTAAGAATCTACTAAGATTTTGAGCGATTTTGCCCGAGCCCCGAGTGACGATAGACAGTGAGGTGGTTGAATAGGAGCGTCGGCGACGAGCGTGGGAAGAGATCATGGACCCGGAACTGATCAAGAAGAAGCGAGAGTACGAGGCGCGAAAAACTCGTACAAAGCTGGCTCTCAACATATGCACGATTTGCGGGAAGAAGGATGCCCGGCCCTGTAAAGGCTGCGGAACTACAGCTTACTGTTCGACGGACTGTCAACGCATCGACTGGCGCGACCGGGGCCACCGGAAGGTCTGCAAGAACATCCAGGCCGCGGCGGCGGCGCGGGCCGAGGCGCCGACGCCCCCACCGTCGCCGCCGCGCGAGGTGTTCTACGGCCCCGCGCCGCGGTCGCACGCCGACGAGGTCCGCGCGCGCATCGCGGCGGAGCACGAGGCGGCGCGTCTGCGGCGCGAGGCGAACCCGGAGCGGGAGCCGCTGTCGGCACGGCTCGGGTCGCGGTGCCCGATCTGTCTCGATGAGTGGGACGTGAATGCGACGAACGTGTTTCGCGTCTGTTGCTGCCGAAGGGTCTGCCGATCGTGCAGCGACAAGATCGGAAGTGCGTGTCCCCTCTGTCGTGTACCGCGCGCAGAAGGCCATGCGGAACACCTCGCGCGTCTTCGCCGCCATGTGGAGAACGAGGTGCCGGAAGCGATTTCGTTTTTGGGAGGTGTGTACCGCAACGGTTACTTCGGCGTCGTGAAATCCGAAAAGAAAGCCGCGAAAATTTACCGGCGCGCCGTGGAGCTCGGCGACGTGGGTGCAATGAGAATCCTTGGAACATTGTACCAGAATGGAAGCGGCGTCAAGCTGGACAAGAAAAAGGCGGAGCGGCTGTATCGTATGGCCGCAGATCGCGGCGACGCGCTCGCGCAATACAATTTAGGGGCTCTCCTTTATTCTGAGCAGAAATTTGAAGATGCGTTCCGGTACTCTGTGCTCGCGGCGGATCAAGGCTTCGCCGAAGCAGAGAACAACCTTGGCGTGTTTTACAGGGACGGACGAGGCACGGAAGTCGACCTCGGCAAAGCCAGGTACTGGTTCGAGCGCGCCGCTGCCAAGGGCTACGAGAAAGCTATAGAGTGCCTCGCGCGCCTCGACCGCACCAGTATAGCCTAAGTCTCCACGCCGCGTCGTCGCCCGAGCCCAAGATGCTGCGCTTGCGCGCGGGCGAGTCGCGCTTGGCCTCGGCGTCGTCGTCGCCGCGTTCCTCTCCGCGCCGACCTTCGCGGTCTAGTGCGTGGCGTTCTTGAACGCGAAGCCCGCGTGGCGCGAGACCGACCACGCCGCCGAGGGGTGCATGGAGAACGACATGAGCGCGATGCTCTAGGGGTGGGCTAGCCCTGGCCAGGTATTCAGCGATTTTGCCTGAGCCGAGGGACGATAGACGAGTGAGGTGGTTGAATAGGGAGCGTCGGCGACGAGCGTGGGAAGAGATCATGGACCCGGAACTGATCAAGAAGAAGCGAGAGTACGAGGCGCGAAAAACTCGTACAAAGCTGGCGCTCAACATATGCACGATTTGCGGGAAGAAGGATGCTCGGCCCTGTAAAGGCTGCGGCACGACGGCGTACTGTTCGACGGACTGCCAACGCATCGACTGGCGCGACCGGGGCCACCGGAAGGTCTGCAAGAACATCCAGGCCGCGGAGGCGGCGCGGGCCGAAGCGCCGACGCGCGCGCCGTCGCCGCCGCGGGACGTGTTCTACGGCCCCGCGCCGCGGTCGCACGCCGACGAGGTCCGCGCGCGCATCGCGGCGGAGCACGAGGCGGCCCGCGTGCGGCGCGCGGCGAACCCTCAGCGGGAGCCGACGTCGGCGCGGTACGGGTCGCGGTGCCCGATCTGCCTCGAGGAGTGGGACATGAATGCGCCGAGCGTGCTTCGCCTCTGTTGCTGCCGGAGGATCTGCCATTCGTGCGCGGAAAAGATCGGCATCGGCGCGTGTCCCCTCTGTCGTGTACCGTGCGCAGAAGACGATGCGGAAAACCTCGCGCGTCTTCGTCGCCATGTGGAGAACGAGGTGCCGGAAGCGATTTCGTTTTTGGGAAATGCGTACCACCTCGGTCGGTTGGGCCTCGTGAAATCCGATAAGAAAGCCGCGAAGATTTGGAAGCGAGCCGTGGAGCTCGAGAACGTGCAAGCAATGACAAATCTTGGGACATTGCACAATCTTGGAAGTGGCGTCAAGCTGGACAAGAAGAAGGCGGAGGAGCTGTTTCGCACGGCCGCAGACCGGGGCTCCGCGGTCGCGCAAACCAAACTCAGCGTATTACTTTACCATGAGCAGAAAATTGAAGAGGCGTTCCGGTACCTCACGCTCGCGGCGAATCAAGGCTGTACGAATGGGGAGTTTGGCCTTGGCATTTGTTACAGGAACGGAGAAGGCACGGAAGTCGACCTCGGCAAAGCCAGGTACTGGTTCGAGCGCGCCGCTGCCAAGGGCGACGAGAAAGCTATAGAGAACCTCGCGCGCCTCGACGCGCAAGTATAGCCTAACAATCTTCACGCCGCGTCGTCGCCCGAGCCCGAGATGCTGCGCTTGCGCGCGGGCGTGTCGCGCTTGGCCTTGGCGTCGTCGTCGCCGCGTTCCAGTCCGCGCCGACCTTCGCGGTCTGGTGCCTGGCGTTCCTGAACGCGAAGCCCGCGTCGCGCGAGACCGACAACGCCG